GACACCGGGCTCCGATCGCAGGACTTCCGTTTTACCGTTGCTGCGGGTGCTGCCCGCGAGCCACCGCCATCCAGCTTTAGGCGGCCCAGCGCAGTGTCCTATTGCCCACGGCCTGACACGCCCCTCACAGCTCTTTTGTCAGGAACAAACCCTATTCGCAGCAGAGCTCCGGAACAACCAGACAAGAGCTAGTGACGTCACAACTGCCCGCCAAAACGCCCTTCCTCTTGCGACAACCCACCTAGGGCAGAGCCTCTAATGTTTGGCTGGGCGGGACTTCCGGGACCTGCGCACACCGCCCAGGCGGTTCCGCCCCCGTCTCTTCCCGCGATCTCAGCTCCTAGGGTCTAGTTGGGTATTCCCTGCCTTTCCTTGAAAGGTGGCCTCAGAGGCTGCAGAAACCTTTTTTTGGTACCAGGGATTGAACCCACGAAGGCTTAACTACTAAGCCACATCACCCCCCTCAGCCCTTTTTTATGTTTTATTTGAAGACAAAAGAGTCTCGCCGAGTTGCTTAGGGTCTCCCTAAGTTGCTAAGGCTGGCAACTTGATCCTCTTGCTTCAGCCTCCCAAATCACTGAGATTACAGGTAGAAAAGGGAAACCTCTAAAACTGGAACCATAATTTTTCTAATTTTTCCCTCAGTAATCTTCAAATTACCTTTTTCTATTAAGGTCCTAGTGTCAAAAGAAAATTTCGACAAATTCAGCTTAGAGATCTTAGTTGACTTTCTTTTGTCTCCCCCAACCACTATCCCCATACCAGGGACTGAACTCCGGCACTTGACCACTGAAGCGCATCCCAGCCCTATTTTGTTTTATTTAGAGACAGGTTCTCAGTTGTTTAGCGCCTCACTCTTTCTGAGGCTGGTTTTGAACTCGTGATTCTCTTGTTTCAACCCACCTAGAGGCTGGGATTCCAGGCCTGCGCCACCAAGTTGGCTCTTAAACTACCTTTTATTTTCGGTTTTGTTATTGGGTTCCCATGAGCTGGGAAAAGATTGGCTTTATAGGCAGAAAAGGGATGAAGAAAGTAAAAACAACAAAAAAAGACTGATGGTTGGTTTCAAAATTTCTTTCCTTGTAAAGTTGAAACAGGATTTCCTTATCTTACTGGATAAAACTGGCCTATTTGGGGATTTGGCTATCCTCTCTCTCTCTCTCTCTCTCAGTTTTGGTGATGAACCCAGGGCCTTGTACATGCTAGTCCAGTACTCTACCACTAAGCTACATTCACAGTCTCATCTCACCTGATTTATTTTGGAAGGTTAGTTTTGATTACCTAGCCTGGAAATTTGGCATGAGTAAATCCATTTCGGTTTGGTCTATTAGGCATAGTATAAGAACTCAGTCCAACGGCCTTCTATTTATTAAACATTAGGAAAGCATCCCTAAGAAAGTTGTTACCAGAGGTTCACTTCTCCGAGAAGTTAATGGTCAAAGTAACTGTAGACCTGAAACAACTTGACAGGCACTTATACTTCCTTCTATAGACCAGCCCCTTTAAGTCTGCTGCTTAGAGATAGATTGTTTTAGGATTGCCTTCCTTTCTAAAACCTTGAGGACTGCAAGCTTTGAAAAACCAGCCTCTACCTCAGAGCAAAGCCTGTCCAAGGAAGGGACATGGCCTTTGTCCTTGGAAAGACCCACAGAGCACTTCTAGGCACATTCCCACCCTGCTAAGTTGTTTATCTACAAATAACAGGAGAGATCTGCTGTGCCAGGTGTCCCTGACTCAGTCAGGCTAGGTGGGGATCCATAGCAACCCCTAGCAGCCACTAATCAGCAAGAGACAGGGAAATACCTGGGATGCAGATGACCCTCCCAGTAGTTTATGGTGTTGGGAAACCATGTAGTTCAGCACGAACACCCCTCTTGGCTTAAACCAATCAGTTCAAACGAATCCCTCTCTTGTACTAACCAATCACCCCTACCCAACTTGTTCCCACCAGTGAATGTGCTAATCGTGTTTTAGAGTTGTTTGATTTTCCCGCCGTGTGTGATGATTTGCTAAGAGATGCTATGATGTATGTGGGGGTCCCTGCCTTCTCCAAAGAATGTATAAAACTGCTGCAAACCCTGGGCTTGGGGCCTCTCAGCGTCACCAGTTGCTGTGTGTGCTCAAGCGGAGGACCGAGCTAGCTCGAAATAAATACCTCTTTGCTGTTTACATTGATCTTGGTCTCTGGTGGTCTTTTGGGGGTCCCGAGTTTGAGCATAATACATTGATTACTTAAGATATTGAGTACATTGTTCAAAATATTGTTCTGTAACCTAAGTCAATCATGATTAAGGTTTTACGTTTTCACCTCAATCACTAGGTGCTAGGTAAGGCAACTAGACTACATGACTCTTGACCTATTGTTCACTTCTAACTTTAAAGCATACCTATAATTATTTCATTAACCTTTAACTTTAAAGCATATTTATGATTATTGGTAAGCTTTCTTACTTCTAAACTAAAATCCCAGTAAAACACACTTAAAGTAGTGAAATTCTATTATTTAAAAGCCTACTACTCTGAAGTGCCTCTAAAATATATCTATGTTAATTTTACATGATTCTATTTTTAATTTCCAAGGTAATTTCCTTTTTTCATATGACCTATTCAACTGCTTTCTTAAAGAACTTCCTTGATCCTTGGTCAAAGCACATCAATTCTTATGTCTTTGTAATCTTTTAATTAAAGAGCAGGCTCTGCACCTCAACCCATTTGTCATTTATATTAACTATGTGTTTTCCATTTTCATCATAAGTTTCTGTGTAAGGCAAAGGAGGGTCTATTGGTTGGGGAATGTATTTTTATTAGCCTCTTGTCCTTGGGGGGATACCATAAGCTACGTATGGTGGTCCTTGTACTGTTGGCACAGCAATTGTTTTTCGGTAGCTAGGCTATTGTACAGGTTGTGGCTTTAGGATGGGGTTGGGGGGGGCTAGTTATCCATGGAATAAATATTTGGAATTGTTATAAATAAATAATATGGAATCCATGGAATAAATATTTCTTGTTGTTTAAGCTTGAGGAATAACACCATTGTTTGTATCCTGAGAGACACTGAAATGAGCCTCATGGCATGTCTCAATTGTATCCTTAGTCTCATTCTGGGAATTTTCCTGCAATCTCAGGCAATACATACTTTTATTATTGATTGAGTATGCCCTGTTATCCATATCAAGAGTATCATCAACAAAACACTTAACATTCCTAATGGTTCCAGTTTCCAGATGGTGCATCCCCCATGCTGTTACCCTGTCAGACAGCAGGTGCAGGAACGCCTTCACCACTCCTGTAATCCCATAGACTTGGGAAGCTGAGGCAGGAGGATTACAAGTTCAAGGCCAACCTTAGCAATTTAATGAGGCCCTAAGCAATTTAGCAAGACCCTGTCTCAAAAAAATAAAAAGGGCTAGAGATATAGCTCAGTGGTAAAATGCTCTGTGGGTTCAATCCTCAATACCAAAAAAAAAAAAAAAAGTGTACACCACTTTATTGTTAGGTTTCCATATAGGGCAAAGCTCTAGAAAGGAGGTTAACAAGAATATAATTTCACATTTTATGCATTTCAGCTTTAACTTTTTGTGTGTGTGTGTGTGTGTGTGTGGTGATAGTGGCATTAGGGATTGAACCCAGGGTCTTGCACGTGCTAAGCATGCACTCTGCCACAGAACTACATACCCAGGCCATTAACTTTTTGAACCACAACTGATTCTACAGAATTGGTTTCAATGAAAAACAAAATGAAACAGAATTTGGCTAGGAAAATGATGGGAAATTCATAAAGAATGTGATCCCCCTCCCCCAGAGTACTTAAAAGCCAGGCCCAAGGTTTGGTTTTGTTAAGCAAATAATAAATAAGGGTGTATAAACAAGGTCGTAGGAAGAGAAAAGGAAATCAATGGGCGTGAAACAGTCTTTAAGTCCATTTGGATTTGCTGAGGGCATTCAGGTTGGGTAAAGAAATGGTTTCCACCGCCTGGGGTTGTGGCTCAGCGGTAGAGCGCTTGCCTAGTGTGCGTGAGGCCCTGGGTTCGATCCTCAACACCACATAAGAATAAATAAATAAAGGTTAGGGCTGGGGTTATAACCAAGTGGCAGAGTGCTTGCCTAGCATGTGTAAGGCACTGGGTTAGAGCCTCAGCACCACATATAAATAAATTAAATAAAGGTATTGTGTCCACCTACAACTAAAATTTAAAAATAAATAAATAAATAAAGGTTAAAAAAAAGAAATGGTTTCCAGGTGGAGTCTAAACAAGGAGTTGTGGGTTCTTGGTAGAGAACTTTGGGAACTTGTGGTCCAATAATAACATAGGAGTAAGTGATTTTATATATAAGAAGCTCATGTGTTAACTGTTACTAGTATTGTTATTTGCTGTTATAAAGAGAAAGTCACATATGAAGAATTCCTGAAGCATACTATTTTACTGTGAAAAGAGAGATGGGAAACAGACTTGGGCATATATTCCAAGGCAGTAGGTTCATCCCATGTGCCAACTGACCAGTTGGCAGTGGATGCCTGGAATATGTGTAAAGTACAATTCCCAAGGAATATCTGGCTGAGCAGGACAGCATACTATATAATGGATTAGTGATGTCTACTGTGGGTGGTGAAGGGAGTCATCAGCATACATTCTATATATTTGTCTTCTTTATACTGAAGCTTTATTCCAGTCAGTTGCCTGTTAATAAAAGGCGAGGTCTAACTTTGTCCAGTTGTGTCAGTCCTTACTTGCTCCATGTTTTGGGTTTTTTTTTTAAATATTTTTTTTAGTTGTAGATGGGCACAATACCTTAATTTAATTTATTTATTATTATGTGGTGTTGAGGATCAAACCCAATGTCTCACGTATGTGAGGCAAACACTCTACCACTCACTTGCTCCATGTTTTACTCCCAGCACATAGTTGAGACATGCCGCAGTCTGGCTGGGCACAAATGCCGCAGTCTGGCTGGGCACACAATCACGAGCCACCACACAGCTTGTAGATTCAAACAGCAACTCTTTATTCCCGAACTCACACCAGCCGTCTACAATCACGTTCTGGGGAAATCCACGTTCTCTTCCCAAATCCACGTTCTCTGCCCAAATCCCACCTCCACTGGGCTTCTATCTCCAAAATATACTGTCTGAATCCCGTGAGAACTCAAGGGGAACTCAGGCAGCAGGATACGCCCTATTCCCAGCAGGAATAATCTTAAACCTTAAACCTGGAACCTAAACTGGGAACGCCCTAAACACGATTATCTTAAAACCGGGAACACCCTAATCTGCCTTGGTCCTTGAGCAAGGTCACGTACATTCAATGTCACTGCAACATGTCAGCAACATGGGGTACGCTGGCAAGGAAATTGTCATACCTACTTGGCTAATGGCTCCCAGCAGAGACATATTTTTGTATGACATAGAGCCACATCCCCAGCCTTTTTATTTTTTATTTTGAAACAAGTTCTCCATAAATTGCTTAGGGTCTTGCTAAATTGCTGAGGCTGGCCTCAACCTCTGGGTTACTGGAATTACAGGCATGCATCCTCATGCCCATCTTCCTCCTGTGACTTCTGAACAATGAAGAGTTGGCTTCTTTTTTGAAATTTTTTTATTTGTTTTGTGGAGTTGGCTTCTAATAGCTGCTAGGAGGGCATGGATAATGCATATTGAAGTGAAGGATATCACTCCCCATGGAGGAACTTTGGGCAATTGAAAACAGTTTAGACTGAGTGAGTACAACAGACAAATTTGCTTTCCTTCTTCCTTCGAAGGCCTAATTTTCTCAAACAGTATGTGGGTACAGAAGGACAGAGTGATAGATGTACCTGTTGAACAACCTGCTATGTCTCTCATGGCTCATCTTCAAGGTATATTACTTCATATCCTTCTCTACCCTACTTTCTTTCAGCATGCCTCCTCACTCTGACCACCTGAATTTGTACCTTCCAAATAAAGTGTCAGTACTTAATCCTCACCTTGTAAACAGGGTCCACATTTTTAAATATTTCTATTACAACACCTAGCACATGGCATTTGGTATTCAATAACCATTATAAATAAATGATCAGTTAATTCTCTTTTTAGTATAAATAACTATGATACTATACTAGAGAACACATATATGCCAGCATCTCATAATATAGATTTTAGGTGTTTTATTTTTATTCACCTTTTAATAAGTAGTACATTCACATAGTTCAAAATTCAAAATGTCCAAAAGGGATTAACAGTGAAATGACTTCCTCATATCTTTGACCTCTAAGGTCTTAATTTCTTTCCTGAAACAACTAATATAATTTCTTATGTATCTCTGCAGAATTTTATGAATCTCTGCAGAATATATGTTATATAACATATATACATATGTTATATAATATTTTTCCACTTAACAATAAATATATAATTAACAACACCAACAATACATTATGGTGATAACTCCCCATCATTAAACAAAGAGTCTCTTCATTCTTTTATAGAGCTAAATAGAAAATATTCATTGTATCACTTACAAAATCTTTAATACTGCTTTTACTTTTTGCCATAACAATAAATCTGCAGTAAATAAATTATGCATACATTTTACTATTTTCAAGATAAATTACTACAAGTGACATCAGGATCGTGGGGCAGAAGGTTAGTTTTTGACTGATGATATCAACTCTTTTAGGGGTGACTTTTGCTCTTCAGGGATCCTCTCTGCTTTCCCTTTCTCAATGACCTGAACAGCCCTCAGCAAACCATCCTGCAGAGCCTGGTTCTTTACCATGTTAGTGATCATGAATGTGATATCCCTGATGTACATCTGTCGTACTTTAGCAGCATAATGATCTGCCTTGTGACCATATGCAATAAAGAAAGTACAAAGTGCTGTGATATCTCCTTCTTGCAGCCCACATTCTTCCAGAACAGACTCCCACACAACTCTAATGCGCTTGTTCTTAACTTTTCGTCTAAGGACAGAGGCTAAGGTGGGAAGACCTCTCACCAGGTCTGGTAGTTTCTCAAGTACACGTGTGTGCAAGCTGATAAGTACTTCAATGACGTAGCTGTATAAAATATTCAATTCAATTGAAGTGAACCTATGAAAAAACATGGGGGACTTCTTATGCAACGGAACACTATTAACAGACATAAAAATGCATTTGATCATTACAAATCCAGTAGAAGAACCAGTTGTTGTATTTTAGAAAATACTTACTTTAGAACTAGACCCTGCACTAACCTAGATAGCTATGTTCTCAGGCTACCCTACTGTATGTTCTTCAGTGTCAAAGGAGTTTTATTATCCATCTCTGTGCTAGTGAGACTTTGGCAAGTAACAGGCACTGTGACGACATGTGTACCACAGGGCCTAGCATATAATACAGGTGCTAAAATTGATATTTTTTTCAATGCATAAACACAAGAAAATGTAATTTCTTCATAATCCATAGTTGGGACCATACTAAATTCAGTTTTGAAATAACAACTAAAAGCTTTTACCATAAAATTCCTCTGATTTCTCTATCAATACTCACTTCAGTGCCAAAACTGCTGTCCACATTTCATCTTGAGCTGCTTGGCTTGCCAAAGTCTTGCTATGATGTTCAAATTTCTGTGTCAGATTATCTTTGGTATTGTCCAGTTCTTTGAATTGTGCTTCTAAAGCTTGGAGTTTGTGGTCTACTCTATAGGATAAAAGAATCAGAGTTAGTTTAGGTCAGGGGAAAAAAACTAAGGTATTTCTTTAACCTAAGGTTCTAATGCATTATGTACAACCACCATGAAATTTGGTGTGTGTGTGTATGTGTGTGTGTTGCTATGTATCAAACCCAGAGCCTTGTGTGAGCTAGGCAAGCACTCTACCACAGAGCTATACCTCCAACCCCTGGGTAAATATTTAAATTTAAAATTATGAACAGATGGTACTGGGAAATTAAATTGATCAAATTATTTTATGTACATGTATGAATGTATAAAAGGAAGCCTACTATATGTATAATTATAATGTATCAATAAAAAATGTTAAATAAATAAATAAAATCATGAACAGATGTTTCCATTTGCCATTCCTTCTAGCATTCATATTTGTTCTTTCCTTACTTCAAACTTCTTAATTATCTAATTACTTGAATTATCTATCATGTCTTATCTTTATATTTCATACTTTGAGTATTTTATACAAGCATGACTTCAATTCTCACAACCATAAGATTTGAAACAGTCATTTTTACTAGTTTATAGATAAAGAAATTGAGTCTTAGAAAGATTGAGATTTAAAGTCATGTAACTAGCTAATACTGGGACCACTGTATAATTATATGGCTTTCTCTACCCTATCATGACTGTACAAATTTCCTTCAAGGTTCAAATTTCACCACCTTCTTGTTTTTGATTATTTTTAAAAATATTTTTGTTGGTTGTTGATGGACCTTTTATTAACTTATTTATATGTGGTGCTGAGATCAAACCCAGTGCTTTACATCATGCTGGGCAAGCACTGTATCTTTGAGCCACAACCCCAGCTCCTCTACCACCTTCTTGATTTCCTCTGGATCTGGAGATCTTCTTACCCTCCTGCTTCTCTCTTATAGGATTGATCTCTATTACCTATCCCTCTTTACCCTTACTTCATTTGTAGAGTTAGCTTTTCATAAACTAAGTTCTTAGAGGAAGAAAATCAGAGACCATTTCTTAGATATCTTTATGCCTGTCCTCCAATACCTAGAAGAGGTCTTACCTAGACGTAATAAAATATTTCTATGTTACATGATTGACATTTGTGATGTGAATGAGAGGCTGAGCCTTGTAACCCAACATGGGGATCGAGTAGCTTTGAATAGCCCTGATCACCAGAGGGCACTATGGCAGCAGAACTATATCTAACTGGACCACAAAAAAAAAAAAAAAAAAATTGGAGAAACAAAACTCACTTTCCTGAAGCCACCCACTTGTCTTTCATGAAATAAATGACGCATAAGAATACAAGTTATTTCCCCAGTGACCTGAATACCTTTGTGGTTGCTCTATCCTTGATGATCTTCTTTTGATCCTTAGTTTCTCCAAAGGCTAATTCAGCTTCAGGTACTACCTTGCTCCTAGGCTCTAGACCTGTATTTTCATCTGTTTTGCACATTTCTACCTGGAAATGTCAAACTCAACAGTCCTGAGCTGAATGTACTAACACCCCTTCCATCTTCAGAAATTATTATGGAGGGATTTTTCACTGCTTCAGATTCTATTAACACAGATAAGATGGAATATGAAATGTGCATTTCATAGATATACAAACCTGCATAATCTAATAGGGTAACAGTCTCTGTCTACAAGTAAAAAACCATGTCACCTGGCACACTGTTTGTATTAACTTTTAGATCTTTGAGACTATATTGCTATATAGCTCATCTCTAGCTTAAACTCTAGGAATAAATTCTAGCTTGTCAATCTGTATATAAGTTTATAATTGCAGCATTTTTTTAATCCTCCCGCCAAAAGGCATTCCTGGACCATTCTAAATAATTATTAAACAACATGCAAATCTGATTGCAGTCTGCTTTTACTATAATTCCCTAGCTCTGTTAATGACCTTACCAATTTATCCAATTACTTGAACTAAAAATCTCAGAATAATTCTCAACCCTGTTTTCTCTCATCCTCCAATTAATGTCTCTTTAATCTATCCTCTCCTCTGCATCCCAAGATCTAAGCCAGCTCATCCTCTGTAATCAAGAAACTTGCTTCCATGTCCAATCCATCCTCCAGACATAGTTTTTAAAATACAATCTGATTGGGCTGGGGTTGTGGCTCAGTAGTAGAGCACTTGCCTAGCATGTGTGAGGCTCTGGGTTCAATCCTCAGCATCACATAAAAATAAGTAAATAAAGTCATTGTGTTCTTCTACAACTAAAGAGAAGTATATATTAAAAAATACAGTCTGATTATGTAACCCAACAGATGATATACCTTTTATGCCACCCTGATTTGCCCAATAACTTTAGATCCCAAATGGCATCTCCTCAGCAGGAAACATGAAGCCATTCCCCTTTCCTTCATCTTCTGCCTGTTCTCTTACACATTTTAGTCACTAATATGTAATTCCAAACTTACATATGGCTTTCATGTACTGTTTCCTCAGTCTAGATTCCTTCCCACATTTTCATTTCCTCATAAACTTCACTCTCATTGCTCAAATGTTCCTATAGAAAGAGTCCTTTTCCTAATGTCAAAGGCAAAATTGAGTTTTCTGCCCTTGTGTTCCATTAACTCTTTAGAAACCACCATTAGCTGTGCTGTGCACTCCTTGAGGGCAGAAACCACATTTTACACTTTTTTTTTTTTAACAAAAGCAAAAAGCTTTTATTGAAGGCTGACCAACAAGGAAACTGGAGACATGCTCAAGTCTCTCAGTTTGGATTATTGTAAATCTAGCATTTAGTATGTATATGAATTGAATGGCATTACAGCAGATTTTTACATTTTGGGAGTTGGTACCAGGATTGAACTCTAGGGCATTTGACTACTGAGACACATCCCCAGCCATGTATTTATATATATATAAAATTTAGAGAGAGGGCCTCACTGAGTTGCTTAGCACCTCGCTTTTTGCTGAGGCTGGTTTTGAACTCACAATCTTTCCTGTCTCAGCCTCCAAAACTGCTGGGATTACAGGCATGTGCCACTGCAAACAGCTTAATTTACATACTTTTTTTGAACTTGGAAGACTTAAACCATTTTAACAGAAAATTCTAATTAGCATGTCTGTAGTTCTTTTCTTATTTCTACTCTTTATTCTTTGCTTCCCCATCTTCCCAGAATTTGAGACACATGCTTATTGCCCCCTAGGACCCCTTAGCAACCTTTTTATTGCCTCCTTCAAGGATATCGAGGTTGTGGTTTCATTGTTCATCTTCTTAAGTAAAAATGAAAAGAAACAAAATAAAGCAAAACAAAACCCAATAGATGTTTGAATCCAAGGTTTTCTGCTTGTTTTTCCACTCAGCAACAGGCAGCAGCAATGTGAACATTCAATCTAAATTCTGCCTAAAGGTCACTGAGTACAAGAGCTTTTAATAGCTTGTTCCAAATATAGTTTCAAATAACTGATCTTGTGAACACAGGTGTCCTAGAATGCACTATAACATTTGCCTTTGAAAACTGACCCATAGAGTATCAACATAGACCCACAAACTTATACAATTATAATTACAATTTTAATTTTAATTATATATATATATATATATTCACATAAAATTAAATATATATGCTAGTATTAAATTTGATGGAAATGTTACCCATATTTTAACAGCTTCCCATTTTTATGGAACTTACAAACCAAATAAGTTTAAAAAGTGCCCCACATCTTTTATGATGATTATGATTTTAAAGGTAAAAATCTACCATTAGAAACTATAGGTATTTATTGAGAGTTTCTAGTATTAGACTAGGAATTACCAAAAAAAAAAAAAAAAAACAAAACAAACAGGATTGGGTACATAAAACAGGATTCCTGCTGGGCAAATTGGTTTGAACCTGGTGTGGGGGGGTGGGGGTGGGGGGAATTGAGAAAGGGGGCTTTTAAAGAAGTGATTCAAAGGCTACATTCCATCTATCAGGAGTTGTAATTCATTTGTTAATTTGGGAGTTAAGTCATTTCTGAGATCTTCCAGTGCCTTCTTCAAGTTTGAATAATTTCATTCCAATGGTGGGGTGTGTGTGTGTGTGTGTGTGTGTGTGCTCAAGGACAGATAACTCTGCCTAGAATGGGGAAGAAAGGTAATCCTGTTTCCCCTAATGTATTAGGGAGTAGGGGGGGATTTGGAAAAGAGAGAAAGAAATGTGTCTATTTTAAAAGTAAACCACATTGGCAGAGCAGCAAGGGTTATATTCAAAGCATAAAGTGGAGCACTGTTACAACAATACTCCAACTGAGGAAGTTTGAGCCTGAACAAAAATTACCCTTATGAAGGTTTTTGTGGCACTGAAGTTAGAATTAGGCAGTCAGTTTTATAAAGGAAGATGGAAAAGCCTCCCCTTCTCTTACTCTTAACTCCCCTCTCCCTCCCCCCTCCCCTCTCCCTCTCCTCCCCTCTCTCTCTCCTCCCCTCCCCTCCCCTCTCCCCCCTCCCCCTCCCTCTCCTCCCCTCCCTCCCCCTCCCCTCCCCTCTCTCACCCCCCCCCCCTCTCCCTCTCCTCCCCCCCCTTCCCCTCTCCCCTCTCTCTCCCCCTCCCCTCTCCCTCTCCCTCCCTCCCTCCCCCTCCCTCCCCCCTCCCCTCCCCCCCCCCCCCCCCCCTCTCCTCCCCCCCCCCCCCCTCCCCTCCCCTCTCTCTCCCCCCTCCCCTCTCCCTCTGCTCCCCTCCCCTCCCTCCCCCTCCCCTCTCTCTCCCCCCTCCTCTCCCTCTCCCCTCTCTCCCCCTCCCCTCTCCCTCTCCCTCTCCTCTCCCCTCTTCTCTTTCTCTCTCTCTCTCCCTCCCTCCCTCCCCCTCTCCCTTCTCTTCTGCGACTGGCCACTAGGGTCCTGCTAATAAAATGGTTGTTTTGGCTTGTTGAGAGGGAGAGGGAGAGGGGAGAGGGGAGTTAAGAGTAAGAGATGGGGAGGCGGAGAGTAAGAGAGGAGAGAGAGAGAGGGTGAGAGGAAGAGAGAGAGGAAGAGTAAGAGAAGGAACACGAACAGGGTACTGATATTTATGGGCTTAACACAGGAGAGGAGGAGCAAGGCGAGTGGGCTGTTACTTCTTCATTGGCCGAAAGTTCGCGCCACTTCAGGGATTGGAGGTGACGGTTCGCGTGCCATTCAGTGAGTCATGGACCTGAGCTCCAGGAAGATAAGTGCCATCTTTACCAACAAGTCTAGATAGGTAAATCAAGTCAGATGGAGTCAGGACAATTTTGAGGGAGTCCAAGTTGGCAAGTTGGAGACTGTCCCCTGAGGGATTGAAATGTTAATTCATTCAGAGCCCTTCCTCCACCCTTATCAAGAGCCTGCCCCTGCTCCAACCCGTTGCTAAGGTAACCTGTCCCAGGAATCGCCCCTCCCTACAGGGAGTTATAAAGTTGTTAATTAATGTGTCCTGGGCTACTCTACCCGGTCCTTCCTCTTCAGCACACCTGTTTACCACTTTTTGGCCATCCCACCGAGCATACCTGGGCTTAGAGAGAAAGATAAGGGGAAGAAGGCTGGAGAACAAAGAAAGCCTAGGACATAGAAAAAGGGCAGAACACCTTGCTTCTTGGGATACCAGGATACCAGCTAAGGCCTCCTTCTCCCTCCCAGAAGAAGTCTATGTTACTCCTTTTTAAGTAAACCCTGTTATATGCTTGCCTCAGCCTGCTTCTCTAATGTTCAAACTTCAACATTTGAGGGAGCAGAACTCATCACTGATAACTGGCAGTATCAGCAGTAGCCTTTGCTCAGTGCATAATTCTGAGGCACCAGGAGTAGTGGCAGGCACATGTTAGTTGTGGAACTGTTATGCTCAAATTCGGGACCCCTAAAGACCACCAGAGACCCAAGATCGATGTAAGCAGCAAAGAGGTGTTTATTGTGAGCTAGCTCGGTCCTCCGCGCACACACACAGCAACTGGTGATGCTGAGAGGCCCCGAGCCCAGGGTTTGCAGCAGTTTTATACATTTTTTGGAGAGGGCAGGGACTTCACATACATCATAGCCTCTTTTAGCAAATCATCACACACCGTGGGAAAATCAAATAACAACTCTAAAACATGATTAGCACATTCACTGGCAGGAACAAGTTGGGTAGGGGTGATTGGTCAGTACAAAAGGGGTATTCGTTTGAACTGATTGGTTTGAGCCAAGAGGGGTGTTCGCGCTGAACTACATGGTTTCCCAACATGTTATCAACCACCATAAACTGAGAGGGTCATCTGGCATGCTGATTGGTGGCTGCTAGGAGGTTGCTATGGATCTCCACCTAGCCTGACTGAGTCAGGGACACCTGGCGCAGCAGATCACTCCTGTTATTTGTAGATAAACAACTTAGCAGGGTGGGAATGTGCCTAGGAATGCTCTGTGGGTTTTTCCAAGGACAAAGGCCATGTCCCTTCCTTGGACAGCTTTGCTCTGAGATAGAGACTGGTTTTTCAGAACAAGTAAGTATTCCTGATTACTGGAACGTGTCTCAATGAATAGGTAGGATAAATAGTAAAATGGTCAGGCAGTCAGGGTAATAAGTCCCATTTAAGACTTTTTTTTCAAAGGTAAAGACAAGTAAATGGAAATAATCAGAAACATTCCCACAAGGCTTTGTCCCAGATGTTGGGGTGGGGCAAATGGAGGTTACAGGAAAGTTCGAATTCAAGGACTAAAAGGACACAGTAAATTAGAAGGTCATGGGTTGAACCAATAGCCTTGATACTTTTATAATACCTGGTTCACATAGATTTTTGACTAATAACATTGGTACTTTTCTAAGACCTGATTAGCACAGACAGTGATCAATGCTCCTCTCAGTAGCTATATAAATCCCTAAACTAGTACAGTTGCCCCGTGGGAGCTCTGCCTTTCTTCTTTTCACTTGAATAAATCCTTGTATAGGGATACCTCTTCTCCTGTGACAAAGTCACAATTTAATGGTGGCTTAATATATTTGTAACAGAGGTTCACTTGATACTTTGACTATATCCTTGTGGCTTTGAAACTTACATGATTTTTTCTTTTTCCCAATCTTCTTATCCCTGATTTCCTCCCTGATCTTCTTTTCTCTAACCTTCTCCTCCTTCCTGATCTTCTTTTCCTAACCTTGTCCTTGATCTTCTCTGATCTTCTTTCCCCTAACTTTCTCCTCCCTGATCTTCTTTTCTCTGGTCTTCTCCTTCCTGATCTCTCTTCCCTAATCTCATTTTCTCCAAATCACCTCTTTAAAAAAACTTCTCGGTTCCCCATGATGGGCAGAATCATAGCCTTTGGTACAGGAGTCCCCTGTGTTTCTCCTTTGATAGCAAAGCAATAAACCTTCTTTTTCATGTTTTTTCAAAACCATGTCCTCATTATTGGATTGGCATGGGACAAGGACTGACCTTTTGGCAATAATTTTTCCAACATCCCAGCCCTAGGCATCCGGTCTCCTATAGATTTGCCTGTTCTTAAGTGGGGTACAGTGACACATGCCTATACAGTGGCACATACTTAGGAGCATGAGGCATCAGGATCGTAACTTCAAGGTCAACCTGGGCAACTTAGCAAGATCATTGTCAGATCAGGCCAGGTAGGCAGCGACCAAAGGAGGCAGATTTAAAAGGGCCGCTGAATGTTGAGAGCCACAGCCGAAGGCGCCCCAGCAAACTTCCAGCTGCCGGCTGATGATTGGCTCACAGTGGCCCCAGCAACATCTAGCTGATTGGCTCCTCGGCCCCAGCAACATCTAGCTGATTGGCTCCTCTGCGGTGATGCTCATTGGGCTGTTTCCCTGCCCTTTCAGACCACGGAGCTGCTCATTGGGGGACTTTTTTGGCTCCGCCCACATGACCCAGCCAATCGGCCTCAAGAGCAGGAGGATTGTGGGAGGTGGAGAGAAGCTTATGTGGGAGAGAGAGGCTTGTGGAAAGCCGGTGGTGGCAGTTGAGGCTCTGAGGGTTTTTCCTGAGAGGCTGTTTTGTTTGGCATGTGTGGTTCTAAAAATAAAGTTAGTTTCTTTTGACAAGTGGCTCCTGATTGTGCCCAGCCAGACTGTGGCATTTGGTGGCCCGTACGGGGAATGAACCCGCGACTTTGGCGTTCTCAACATTTGGCATTACTCATATAACAGGAATCCCATACAATCCACAGGGACAAGGCATAGTTGAAAGAGCTCATCAAACTATTAAAATGTACTTATTAAAGCAAAAAGAAGGAATTGGGAAGGGGTACATATTCCCCAAAGATAAACTTAAAATAACCCTTTTTACTCTAAACTTTTTAAATTTGGATTCATCAGGACTTAGTGCTGCGGAAAGGCATATGTGTCCAAAAAATGTGCATAAGCCCAAGGTACTTTGGAAGGATATTCTAACAGGACAATGGAAAGGTC